GGAGTTGTCGTCAATCGTATCGCAGCTTCAACTAAAAGGAGAGAACGTTGACAATTGTTTTTTGCAAGATCAACTCCTAGGAAAGTTTACAGAAGGAATACAACGTCACGTGTTACGAACTAAGGAACAGCGGTCACCAAACGACAACTGGGACACCAATATGCTTCTCAGCTGTGCGAAAGAATATATCCGGACGGAACTCAAGATCGTAACCCGAGTTGGGAAAAGGCGAGAGCAGCAGCCGGTACAAGAGCCAGCAGGAGACAGGAGGTATCCCCGGACAGGGCGGAAAATCGCCTCAGCTTCGGAACGTCAACACTCCTGCTTCTACTGCGGTAAAGGCGATCATGCAGCAAAGGACTGCACCGAAGTGGCTACACGAGAAGAAAGAATGTCCTTTATGCGGAAACGAAACCTGTGTCTCAACTGTGGCTCTGCAGAACATTGGGCAGGGCAATGCAAAGGAGGAGCATGCAGAATATGTAACAACCACGGCCATCACACCTCCCTTTGCCAACAACTCCCTTCTGCGACGAAGAAACCATCTGCAGCTCACGAATCCAAAAAGCCGCACCAGACATCGAATAGAGCCACTCCCAAGCGGCCTGTTCAGAAATCACTGAATTCATCCAAAATGAACACTGTGGTATCAGAGCCCCAACCATCCGATGAGGTGCCAACCACAGCTGCCTTCGTCAACCTTCAGCGAAGCATAGCTGACGTCCACATTCTCGTGGGACAAGCGCACGTCCTGAACCCGAAAGGATCAAGCTCTGGAAGCTATTCATGTACTGCTCGACACTGGGGCCGATCGCTCATTCATCTGTACTGAGCTGGCGGATCGCTTGCAGTTGCGAGATATCAGTTCAACCAAGTTGACTATCAACACATTCGGCTCTAAGCAGCCTCTGCAGCAAACATGCGGAATAACCCAGGTGCAAATGTGGGATTCCTACGGGAAATCTCACAGAATAACGGTTACGAAAATAGGGACTGTCACAGAGCCAATACTGAGACGCAGCCTCAGCGAAGAGGACAGACGATTTCTGCGTGACAACAATATCCGCCTTTCTATAAACGCGGATATCATGGAACTCAAACCTCAAGTGCTACTGGGATGTGCGGACCTGTACGCATTTCTTGAAGGAGGCTTCGCGAACCAGAAGACGCTGCCTTCGGGACTGACACTCATTCCTTCGAAACTAGGATATCTCGTGTCTGGATATGAAACACCTCCAGAAACGCATCCTATGGAACAGCCACACTCCGACGCAGAAGTCAAAACGAGCACGACAGGTTCCATTGAAGATACACAAACCTGGGAACAGTTCTGCACGTTTGAGTCGACAGGCGTTCATGAGTTCACTGGGCCAAGTGTCGAAGAGCGCAAGAACTTGGACAGACAAGTCTGGAAGACATTTGAGCAGACGATCGAGAAAAGACAGGATGGCTACTATGTCAGGCTTCCTTGGAAAGGCAATGCCAGAGCACTCCCAGACAATAAAGCAATTGCTATACGAAGACTTCAGGCTACGGTTACGAAGCTCGCCAAAGAACCTGCTGTTTTACAACAGTATCACGATACGATCGTGAGTCAGCACCAGCAAGGGTATCATTGAGGAAGTGGACGAGGACAGCCACACAGAAGGACCAATTGTGCACTACCTCGCTCACCATGCTGTTCTCACCCCTCAGAAGGAGACCACTAAACTTAGAGTGGTTTTTGACGCCTCTGCTCATCTGAAAGGAGAACCATCCCTTAACGATGTACTCCATCCAGGACCGGTTATACTGCCGAAAATCTGCGACATTCTGCTTCGCTTTCGACTTGGACGCTTCGCGATTATTAGTGATGTCGAGAAAGCATTCTTGCAAGTCCACTTGCATTGTGAAGACAGGGACGCCACAAGATTCATCTGGCTACGCGATATCAACCAACCGCTGACTCCAGACAATACGGTCATCTACAGGTTCACGCGGAGTGACTTTTGGACTCAGTTGTTCACCGTTTCTGCCGTTACCGTCACTTCATCAGAAGAAAGCATGCAGTACCTTAAGCGTTTCGAACAGTTGCTGCAGACTCATCACGTACGGAGCGAAACTGCACAAAAATCAAT